GGCAACATCAGTTCGAATGTAAATATCTGGGCATCGGAATCCCGAATCTTCCCGGAGTAGTGGATTATATAGGCGTTTCGCACAAAGGAAGTTTTGGTGTTTATTATTCACTTATAAGAAAATTTTAAGATGAAGCAGATTCTTTTCATAATCATTGTTCTTGCCGTTTCTTCTTGTTTGAAGCTGGATAGCAATCTTTATAATAACGACACTAAAATCAAAAGCTATGAACTGGACAATTACACTGGCGAGCAGGATTTTATACTAGATGATTCTTACACTATAACAGCGGATAAAATTACTTGGCTGACTCTTAATTCTCAAACAGAGAAAGAATCTCAGTCCACAGAAATTAAGGCGCTCTACATTGGTGATCCTTTAAAAATTTCTACAGACACGGTGATACTGTATTGTCACGGTAACAAATGGCATATGGATTTTTACTGGCAACGTGCTAAATTACTGGCGCATGTAAATGGGAAAAACAGGTACGGACTCATGATGATGGATTACAGGGGCTTTGGTCTGAGTTCAGGGAAACCCACAGAAGACGGTATGTACGCTGACGTAGACGCCTGCATGAAATGGTTGAAAGAAAAAGGACTGGAAGATAAACGACTCATTATTTATGGTTTTAGTCTCGGAAGTGCCTCTGCCTGTGAACTATCTGCAAATACAAAAACACTTAAACCTTCTAAATTAATTCTCGAAGCGCCCTTTGGTAGCTCTGCTATTATGGTGCAGGACGCGTCGCAGTTAAATATGCCTGCGGATTATTTCACAGATGTGAAAATTGACAATGCTGAAGAAATTAAAAAAGTAAGTCAGCCTTTTTTGTGGATGCACGGTACCAACGACAATTTTCTGAATTATAAAACTCATGGTGAAGTGGTTTACAAAAACTACAACGGATCCTACAAAGAAAAATATTTGGTGGAAGGCGCCGACCACGGTGAAGTTCCCGCAAAAATGGGGTTTGATATATATTTGAAGACCATTGGAGACTTTGTGCGGCGCTAGGTTTGCCACAGATTACACCGATTTC